GGGGACCGGAGGGACCAGCCGGGAACCCCCCCCCATCCCCTGATCTTCAGGCCTAGCCACAAGATGGGCACGGGACCACCCGGAAGCCCTGCGGATAGGGGCCTGCCCTGGTGGGAGCACGAGCTCCCTCATTGCTCTGTGCAGGGCCATAGCCTTGTTCCATGAACCCTCCTCGGAGCAGCCTGTCCTGGTGCAAACCTACAGGAGCAGAGGAGATGTTCTGCAGGGCCCTGAGCCCACCTTGCCGCTCTCCACCCCAGAGGTGGCTGCATTTCAGCTGGGGGAAGTGACGAGACCTCTCAGCCCCCTCCATGCCTTGCAGAGGTGCCCAGGTGCTCAGGCAGGGCCCCCACACACCCAGTGGTAAAGCCTTTCACTGATGGGCTGTTTCCCCTTCTCCTTTCCAGAGGAGGGGGGTGAATGGGCCTCCCAGCAGGACCGCAGCCGCTCCTGGCCCCATGCAGGAGAGACCCTTACGGAGAGCCGGTAAGGGCTGTGCACTAGCCCCCTTCTTCCCCCCCAGCTCTGATACCCCCCACATGCATCTCCCTGGGCCCAGGGCTTGGTCCCGTGGCATTTGGAGCTGCGGCTTGTGGGAAGCCAGGGATGGGACAGGGGGTTCAGATCCCAGCTCAGGACACACATGTGGGGCTGGCTCTTGTAACCCTTTGTGCTCTGTGTGCTTTGCTGGGAGGGCTGGGAGTTGCCGGCTATGGGGCTGAAGCAGGGGTCAGAGCCCAGCAGGGCCCATGCCCCTGGGAACTCTCCCTTGGCCAACATGGCAGTCACCTTCATCGCCTGCCCCAGCCCAGGAGCTGATGGGGGAGCCCCAGCCCTTGGGCAGAGCAGGTGGGAGCCAGATTCTCCCTCTCACTGAGCTCCCCATGCTCCCTCCTTGGCCCACAGCATCTCCACCCCCCCGGCGCTGGTCCGGCGAGCTGGTGCGGCACAGCCGGCTCAACTCGGAGCACTTCCCCGAGCCCACGCGCAACATCAGGAACATCATCCGGCAGTACCAGCAGCCCACCCGGCTCTCGGAGCCCCTCAGGTGAGCTCCTGGTCACTGTCAAGCTTTCCATCCCACCCCGCAGCAGCCACCGCATGGGACCCATCCAGAGCTGCCCGGGGGCTAGCCCTCAGCACCGCTGGCTGCAAGGTGCCTGCAACCCAGAGCCTGTCTCCCTACAGTGACTGGCACCTAGTCTCCAACACGGCCAGCTGCACCCACCCTGGACAGTGCCCAATAGCCGCGGGGCAGAGCCTGGGTTGGGTCCCATCGCGGGTCATCCTGCACCCATCCCTGGCCCCTGGAGCCTGCTCTCTTCCCTGCTGCCGAGCTGCTGCCCCCCATGGTTTGTCTCCGCAGGAAGGAGGGCGGGAAGGTCTTTGTGAAGAAGATGGATCCCCACGAGGAAGCCATGATGATCCTGAAGAGGCAGATGGCCGTCGCACCACCGCCACCCTCTCTGGTAGGAGGGCCTGGAGGGATGGCAGGGTTGGGGGCTGTTGGTTCCTCTGGCAGGGCTGTGCCGCTAAGGCAGGAGTCTGCAAGTCGTCCTTCCTGCCTCCTGCAGAGTGAGCCCCGATGTCCCCTTCTGTGGGGTCTGCTCCCCCTCTCAGGGGACATCCAGGCTCCTCAGCGCATGTGCCCCTCACTTGGGGGTGTCCCAGGGCAGACAACCTAATTCCTCCCAGGACACAGGTCTCTCTCTCTGGGTTGTAGATGCCCAAGGAAACGGTGGCCATGGTGAAACCTGTGACCAAGAGGCCTCCCCGGGTGACGTTGGCCCCTTCCCGGAGCCCTGTCCGTGTGGCGATGCCAGGTACTGGTGCCGGGGCATGGAGATGGGCGGCTGCCCCTGGCATTCAGGGCTGGAGGCTTACACTTCCCCCAGCTGCTGAGGCTTGGTCCAGCCGTCAGCCCCCAGGTGCCAAGGGGCAGCCAAATGCAGCAGGGCTGGGCAGGGCGAAGTCTCTGTGATTTGGCTGGGACCATCCTGCAGAGACCCTGCGAACATGCCTGTAGGCAGCAGGGAGCACCCAGCAGCCCCTACCCACAGCCAGGTCACACGCCTGCCTCTGCCCTGTAGGGCTACAACTTCCCCTGCGCTGGCACCTTGGCCCTGCTCCCTGCCCAGCTCTCTTCTCTTGCTCCTGGGATGCAGCCGTGAACCCTGAGGCCCAGAAAGGTCTGTGGATCCAGACCGTGCACGAAGCTAAGCATCCAGCCAGCTGGGCATGGGCTGCACAAACAGTGGGCTCAGGGTGTTGTGTGAGCCCAGTAGGGCAGAGAGCAGTGGGTACAACGGGCAGTCTGAGAGACGCTTTACACACTATAATGTGCATCCCCTGAAGACTCCTGCTGGCTGCCGGGGTATCAGTTACCCCAGGGCTGACCTGGAGCCTGGCAGGGGACCAGGGAGCGTCTCAAGGCACAACCTTCCCCGTAACCCAACTCAGGCAGCCCAAATTGGACCCCGCAGGTGGTCCCAAATGGCAGTGTGCAGGGCCAGGAGGGGGCCACCAGTCCCACCGAGCTCTGTTGTGACCAGGGCCAAGGGCTCTGCACCCTGTCAGCGGCTTGGCTTTTATGAGCAACGAGAGCTGCAGGATGACATGACCGGAGCTCGTGATCCTCATGTTTCAGGGTGATGGCCCCATGAGATCAGGCAGCAAAGATCCCTCGGGGATAATGTTGCAGCATGTGGAAGGAATCGCACAGCCCCGCTCCTGGCTGCATCGAGGGCCCCGGTGCCTTCTTCAGGAGCTGGCCCTGTAATCCGGGGCAAAGCCTGATGCCCAGACCACATCCTTCCCAGAGCTGGGATGTTCTGCATCCCCAGGCTCCCTCTGTGTTGCCTGTTACCTGCTATTACCCAGCTGCCCCTTTCCCAGAAGTAGCTGCATTTCAGCAGCAGGTGACTTCAGCCTTGAGCAAAGGGAATAGCAGAGGGCTGCTGCCCACAGTTGCCACCTTCCACTGCACAAGGGACCGCTTTGCATTAGGGGTCAACGCATCCATGGTGCTGCTGCGTTACACACAGCTGCCACCTTTTGCCCCAGAGGTGACTGCATCTCAGGGGTGGCTGAAATGATCTTGCTGAACTGGCTTCACCGTGAAAGGGGCTTTGAGATCCTTCAGGGTGGAAGGTGCATGATAAATGCAAGAGAGCTGGACACAGGCATGGAAGAGGGGAGAAGGGCCTGCCTGGCTCCCAGAAGCCACGGGCGTACGAAGCGGAGGCCTCGCCTGCACTGACGTTCCTGCCAAGAGAAGGCACAGCAGACCCAGAGCCCTGCCACTGACACCCTGCATGCCCATGGGCGAGTCACCTAGTTTCTCTGTGCTTTGGTTTCCCCCTTGAGAGATCATAGCAGAGGATGGGGGGTGGGTGAGTTCATTATGAATCCCAGACACTCAGGTTCTTCAGTCCTGACATGTCCAGGGGCAATAGGAGCAGGCTGTGGTGCCCCCCTCACCCCTTGCTGCAGGCTATCACCCCGTTCTCGGCATCTCTCTGCAGTCATAGTGTCCCGGGACCTGCCAGCCCAGGAGGAGCAGATCCAGACCCAGCTGCACCGGCGCTTCAGCGAGGAGTTCTACACCTACTGCAACGTGCCCTGGAAGATCTACATCCGCAAAGAGGTACGGCGTGAGCACGGCCCCCTTCCCACCTCCCAGTCGACTCCCTAAGGCCAGGCCCTGGGAGAACCAGCCTGGGAATGCGCCCACCTCTGGGGTGGTTGTGTGATGAAACACCGCTGCTCATAGCTGCTGCAGGCAGCGATGCACAAGCAGCCGACTGACAGGAGAAGATGGTGCCTGTTCTCCTTAGGAAGCTGCATCCAAATTGGCCCCGCTGGCTTTTCAGACGTGCAGTGGGGAGTTCACAGGCCACGGTCGGGTGCTTTAAGCCTAAACTTTCTGCTCTATGTTGGGAGAGTCCTCGGCCTGGCCCTGTGGTTATTGATGGGGTGGTTCAGGGGAGAGGGCCGGCTGTGGCTTGGCTCTTCCTAGCCGCCCTGTGCTGGCAAAGCGGGGACGGGAGGTGACTCGAAGCAGGATGGTGTGGGCCGATCTGCAGGGGAGACCCTTCAATGCATCTCCACGATGCTGGAGCCTCCGGCCATTCCCAGACATGAGGCTAGACAGGGCAGCAGAGCATGGCAGCTGCTCCCTGTGTGTCTGCTTTTGGCCTGGGGTAAAGGGCACCTAGGCTGTGGTAGCTCATGTTGTGGAGAGGGCCTAGCCCCTCCACTTGGCTTACTTGCACCATGGGCTAAGCACCTACCAATGGGCAGCTGACACGCTATAACACCCTGGCCCCGGGCAGCTTCTCCATGTGTGTGCCTGGCACAGGCACACCGGGTGCATTTCAAGGCCACTTCAGCTCCTTCTCGAGCCCTGGTGGAAACCTCACCCCAAATGCACTGCCCAGTGTGAGCAACCTGGGGAGAGGGCGGAAAGGGTGCAGAGACCTTCCTGCCAGCCCCCTTCACCTGGCAGCTCCCCTGCTCTTCCCCTCCAGGTGTTCTACCCCAAGGACAACTTCAACCACCCCCTGCTGCTGGACCTCATTTTCAGACAGGTGAGTTCCCCGTGCTCCCACCTGCACCCCGGGCAGGAGATCGGGACTCCTTGTGCCAAGCACTGGGGGAGCCTGAAGCAGCCCCCTCCTCCCTCTCTCTGCCTGCCTTTCTCCAATGGGGGAAAGCTAGGGGTGTCCTCCGTCCACCTCTCAGTAAGTGCTTCCTCTTGCTGTGTGGCAGCCCCTGGAGCCACCACCACCTCCGCCTGCCTCCCACTATCATCCACGCAAGCTGTAGCAGCTCGGCCACCAGCTGTGGGGAGCCCACTGGGCCCCATTAGGGGAGAGGAGAGGGGGGTTTCAGGCTAGGTCTGCCCCCAGCAGACAAATTGCATGGCGGCATTGAGAGGCTCCAGGCTGTTGAGCCCTGGACGGGGGAGTGAGCTGGAGGGGCTCATCCAGCTGCTAACCCAGTGCGACGGCTCCTGCCCGCAGATCTTCAACGACACGCTGTCCGACACCTGCGTCCGCATCAGCCCAGAGGAGCGCCAGCGCATGAGGTCACTCTTCGGTAATGCCCGCCGCCCCTTGTGTCACAGCCAGCCTGGGCTCCGGCCTGCTCTCTCCCACCCCATCTGCCAGCTGTTCACAGCTGCCTTGGGGCCAGTACTGTCTAGGCACTGAGGACCGGGTCCAGGTCCCACTCAAGCTGAGAGGAGTTTTGCAGCCAGTGCAGGGGCCTGGGCAGCTGCCACCTGGGTTTAGGTCTGGGGCTCTGGGGTGTAGCGAGTTGTGCTGGGTCTCAGCCCACATGGGCACACTGGCTGTGTCCATGTGACATTACTGTGCCCCCACATCAACTACTGCCATGGCCTTGGCCAGGCAATTCCCCACCCCTGGCAGCCCTGGGCCCTGATTCTCTTCCCCCACTCCAGCGTGGAGGGGCACAGGGCCTGGGGAGGGGCAGCCGGTGCCTGACGCTCTCTGTGGGATGGGTGGGGGGTCTCACTGCAGCGGCCAACAAGCTGGACTCCTTCAGCCCTGTCGCCAATGAAAGTGTCAAGAAGGAGATCGTCAGAATGGCCCGGGACAGCTGGGAGGTCTACTTCTCCCGCCTCTTCCCTGCCACGGTGCGGGTGTGACGCTGGGGGAGCTGGTGGAGGGTGGCAGGAGGGGGTCTGCCTAACAACCAGCTGGCAGTGTCATGCCAGCCAGACCATGATGCCTTAGAGTAGACTCTGGTCCCAGAGAGGTCCTGAGGGCAGCACTCCTGCCGTGCCTTCGTCTGGGCTCAGGGCTGGTGGTCCCTGCTCCAGCACTGATACAGCAGTGGGGCAGGTGGGGCTGGCACTCGCTGATCTGTCCCGTGCCTGCTTTCCTCCCCCAGGGCAGCGTGGGGACCGGGGTGCAGATCCTGGCCGTGTCCCACACGGGCATTAAGCTGCTGAGGCTGATCAAGGGCACCAACATGCCTGGGGAGCAGCTGCGGGTGCTGCGGACATATAGGTAAGTCCTGGGCAGGAGCCAACTCTGTGCACAGCAGCCGGCCCCCCACGCTGGCAAGTCAGGCTGGCACATGGCTTGGCATCAGCATTTGTGCCACTGCAGCTTTCAATGGAGCAGCAGGTGCTGGAGGGAGGTAATTGCTCTAATTAAATCCATTAGCACCAGATCCTTGCTCTCTGCAGACCTGGCTGCAGGCTCCTCTGCAAAGGGTTGTGAACAGCAACATGCCTACACACACATGCCTGTACACACACGGGCACACATGTGCATGCATCTCCATACAACAGCACACATGCACATATGCATACATACCCAAGCAGTCACACGTGCCTGCACACAAATCTAGACATGCCTGCACCTATGCCCACACAATCTCGAACACACAAGCATGTGCACGCACACACACATGCATGCTCACACCTCTGCCCACAGGCACAGTACCACAGCCAGTCAGTGCCCAGGTACTGAGACCCTCTGCTGGAAGGTGCTGCTGGAGAAGAGTGGTCTGCATATTCATAGCCATGCTCTGTCCCCCTTGGGCTTCACCCCCTGGCAGGGTAAAGCCAGGGCATGCCAGCCCTGAGGCCTAGTCCCCCTGGTGCTACAGAGCCACTCCAGGGGAGCCACAAGCCAAGCCCAGTGCCAAGGGGAGGGCATCTCATTTCTTAACTGCACCAGCGTTGCCCCTGGACCACAACTGGTCCTGCGCCCAGCTCTCTCCCATCCCCTGGTTTGCTGGGCTCCCCCTGCCCCACCACGGTCCAGCCTGCGTAACCCTGTCCTCCCCTCACACCCAGCTATGCCGATGTCCTGTTCGTGACCATGCCCTCGAGAAACATGCTGGAGTTCAACCTGATCAGCGAGAAGCTCATCCTCTTCTCCCCCAAGGCTGCCCAGGTGAAGGCCATGATTGACTACTTCATCACTGAGATCAAGAAGGTGAGGAGCGCCTGGGGCTGGAGCAGAGCAGAGTGGGGGGGGCGGGGGTCCCAGAGGGCTCAGGCAGGGTATGGGGGGCTATGGAGAAAAGTAAGGAGAGAGGTGGTGTGACTGAGTGCCCTGACCATGGTTCCAGGGTGTATTCGAGTGGGCGAGAACGGTTGTTGCCAGGTGAGAGTGTCCTTGGTGTGTCGGTGGTTGTAATATGTGTGTAGCTGGTGGGCGGTTGTGTGCTATGTGGGCTGCGTGTATGTGACCGATTGCGTGGCCTTACTCTGAGAGCAGCGTGCATTTCTGTGGGGTCGTATTCTGAGTGCGAGGTGTGGGGGCAGTAGCTGCCCCCATGTGTGGGGGGCATCCTGCTTTTGCTGCATGCCAGCTTCTACTCCCAGCCTGGGCTCAGTGTCCAGTATCCGCATGCATGAGTCCAGGGGTGGGTCTAGAGGAGGGGCAGTGATGTGGCTGCACCCCCTTTTTGGGATGGGACTGCACTATGGGAGCTCCAGTGACTACTTTTAAGCCCTTAAAGGAAGAGAAAATCCACTCCTCTCCTTTTCCAGTACTCCCTTGCATGCTGGTGTTACTTCCCCTGCTGTCCTGGGGTGGGGGAAGTATCCGAGCTGTTCCCGTTGGCCCATGCTAGACTGTGGGACCAGCTCTGCTGAGGATGGGGGCACCGGCAGTGGCTCCCATGGGTGTGCTGTGTGGGGTTGTATTCTGAGCCTGGGGTCTGCATTCAGTAGGTGTGCATGCATGCATGCGTGTGTGTGTGTCTGCATACAGTAGGGGTGTGTGCATGTGTGCGCGCATGTGTGTCTGCATTCAGTAGGTGTGCATGCATGTGTGTATGTGTACGTGTGTTTGCATTCAGTAGGTGTGCATGTGTGCTTGTATGCATATGTATGTCTGCATTCAGTAGGCGTGCATGTATGCTTGTGTGTGTCTGCATTCAGTAGGTGTGCGTGTGTGTGTGTGTACTGTGTACAGGGCTTGTATTCTGCTCTCGGTGCCTTGGGGCTGTATTCTGAGCATGGAGGGGTATTCACCGGCTGTCCCATGGGGGTGCCACGTGTGCTGTTTTACTCTGCCGCTGGCTGGTGCCCACTGTGCTGTGACTGGTGTGTGAGGCCCTGGTGTCTGGTGCGGGGCCCAGCCCAGCTGTGCGGCTCTCTCCTCCTTGCAGGATTCTCAGTACGTGGTCGCTGTGAAGAACCACGTTGCAATGGACAGCAGCCAGCTGAGTTTCCACAAGGGCGACATCGTCCACCTGCAGCCGCTGGAACACCCCAAGAAAGGTGAGTCACATGGGGCCTGCTCCAGGCCGGGCCCTGCAGGCTGGGACTGCGCGTAGGAGGGAGCAGGAGAACAAGCCCTGGGAGGCAGGCAGGGAGCTCAGCCCTGTGTGACACCCTGCCCCTCTCCCACCCCACAGACTACTATTACGGCTACATGGTGCGCAAGAAGCTGATGTACCTGGAGGAGCTGAAGCGTGGCACCCCGGATTTCGGTGAGTGGCTCTGGAGTGCCATGCTGTGTTGTCCTGGTCCCCATCCCCATGTGCTCTGTCCCCTGGGCCCCCTGCCCCTTTCTCTGATGTCTCCCTTCCTCTCCTCCCCAACCCACCCCAGACGGGCAGCCCCAAATGCAGGAGCCAGAGCCCTATGGCAGGGCACAGCTTCTCATACCACCTCCCCAGGGCACCTGCTGGCCTGCCCTTTCCCACCATTGCATAGGCGTGCCTGAGTGTGTTGTGCATAGAGAGGATGAGAACCTACCACTGCTGCCCCTGGAAGGAGCTCCTCCTCTGGCTTCAGTTTAGGGGCCTGTGTTTCTCACACTGGGGACTGATGCAGGGGGAAGCTCCTGGGCTCAGTCCTACCTGGGCAGGTGCTGTCACATTTCCATCTGGCTCAGCCAGGGGTGCAGTGCCAGGGCTCTGGCCAGGGGTTGGGTGAGTCAGCCAATCTCCCAGTCATTGATGTGTATCAGAGAGCCCCAAAGGAGGCATCCATCAGCCAACAGCTGAGCAGGCCCAGGTGGGGTCCAGACAGAACCCTTGTCCTTTGCAGTGGGGGGGGGGTCCCGTGGGGCAAGCACCTGCTCCCAGCACCCACTGGGCACAGCCCACCCAGGAGCTCATGGGGAGCCAGCATAGGGGGGGCAGCCAGAGAGGAGCTGCTTTGAGGGGTGCATCTGCCTGGCTTCAGCCCTGGGCCGCAGCTCTAGGATCAGGCTGGACATGGTCTGTATGAAGAAAGGGCAGGCAGAAAAGCCACTGTAGAAGTACTGACAGCCCCAATTACAGGGGCTGGGTGAAAGCGCTGTTAGCCAGGCCTGGGAGTGGGGTGGGGGGGCCTGTGCCCCAGCCCTGCCCTACAGACTGCTCATGCCCCATCTGCTTGGTCCAGGGTGGAAGTTCGGTGCCATCCATGGCCGCTCAGGGCTCTTCCCCATGGACTACGTCCAGCCTGTGGCAGCCCCGGACTTCGTGCACCTACCGGCCGACAAGAAGGAAGAACCCAAGAACAAACGGGGCAAGGTGGCAGCCTCCGCGGCTGTGGCTGCGGCTGTGGCCTCAACTGCCATGGCCCGGGAGCTGGACAGGAAGGGTGAGGTGAGCAGCTGTCCCTAGGGCCCTGGGAAACTGGGACTGGCTGGGCTGCAGTGGAGGGCACTGGCTGGGTGGCAGATGCAGGTACCAGTCCATGGGCTGAGAAGGAGACCGTGGCCAAGGCCCTGCAGCTGGCCTGGTCAGTGGTGGCAGCAGCCTAGGTCTGCCTGCAGCTGGGCACGCTCTCTACAGCACCCCAAGGGTTAAAGGCTAGAGGCTCCTCCTGTGCATCCCAGACCCTGGAGCCCACGTCCCTCTGCCCCCAGGACACCCCCACGGGCAGCGACAGTGCAGATAAAGCAGCAGAGGCCAGTGGCGAGCTTCCCAGGGACGGTGCCCTGCCGGCAGGGCCATCCACTATGATGGACTTTGCCAGGAAGTATTTCCGCGGTGCCCAGAAGCCGACGTCGTGAGTGTTTGTGGTGGGGGCGACTTTTCACCTTTCACCCTCCTGTGACCCCCTCCCCCCGCCATCAGCTCCGTGTGCCAGGAGCGAGGTGGGGGGGTAACACAGGTCCCAGTGGGACGATGTCTGGGTGACAGCACCTGCCATGCACCCCCTGACTGCCTGCCTCCCCTGCAGAGCCAGGGGCCACCCCCAGCCCTGCTGCCCTGCTCACGAGTGCCCCTGCTAGCTGGGCAAGGAACTGCCCCCAGGCGCTTTGTGCTGGGCTCTTGGCGGGCTGTGCTCTGGTGCTGCCATGTCCCGGGTAGCAGTGGGGCATGCAAGTGCTGGAAACCCAGACTCAGGTTTTGCAGCTGCAGCAGCAAGCCAAGAAGGAGGCTGTGCGTCAACCAGAGACTGGCTCAAGAAGCAAGGGGGGTCCTGCTTTTAGGTAGACAATCACAGGGGTCAGGGTCAAAAGCAACAGGCCCGAGGGAAGGAGTAGGTAAAAGATAAATAGACCTTAACACTGTGGTAACATCCACTCAGCACCTTCATCCCTGCCATGCCTCCGGAGGTGTCCCCAAATCAGCCTTCAGTCCCCAGAGCACTCAAACAGCAGCCTGCGGTTGCCTCCAAGTCTGAGTCCAGCTCTTTCCGTCCACAGCCCTGGCCGATCCAGTCCTACCCCGCACCCTTGGGCATCCATCGACCACGCATTCCCTTCTCACTGCTCTGTCCTTCTCTTCCTGCCTCTTCCTTTGCCCTCCGGCCCCTGAGGTTTTGTGGGAGTTGTAGCCCAGGTTACAGTCAGCACGGCTCTGCCCCCAGCTGTTACACACATCCATGCACATGACAGCCGAGCACAGCTCCCAGCCGCAGGGATAGCTGCTCCTCGCCCAGCCAAGCTCCTCATTCTCTCCCCGCAGGGACTCCTTCAAACAGAAATCCAAAAAGGGACGGGACGTGCCAGGCATGGCAGAGAAGCTCAAGTTCACCAAGGTAACTGGGATGGTGCTCGCTGCCCTCACCACAGCCCAGCCATGTGAACCGGGGGGTCTGAAGCAGCCGTGCTAGGGCCCACCCCGTCCCAGGGCTCCAGGACCTCGGGTCTGGCTGCCCTCAAGGGAAGGGATCCCTGCTTCTTTGCGCTGGGGCGAGGATCTAGCTGGCGAGCTCCTGTGACCAGTGTCTGTGAGTGTGGGTAGCTGAGGCTGGGGTGCCAGGGGGCACAGGGCTAAGCAAGGGCTGCACACTTGCTGCCTCCACGGGCCTAGCTCACGGGCACCCCATACTGCCCTCCTGCCACCCCAGAGGGTGCCTAGTGCCCCCTCTTGTTCCCCTCCATTGCAAGGCCTCCCTGCCACTCTTGCAACAGGGCCTTGGTGCTCATCCCTTTCTCCTGTGCCAGGTTTACATGCAGGTCCCTACACCAGGTCCCCTGCTCTTGCTTCTGTGCCTGGGCTCTGAGTGCTCATGTTCCCCCACTGGAGTCCTCCCCTCAACACCATGCCAAGGGGATCCCTTGCATCCCTCCTCCCTCCCTCCCTCCCCCATCATTAGTTCTTGTCGTTAAGGGGCCAGCATGGTACTCTCTGGGGACCAGCAGAGGCACCGGTAAGGTGCTGGTGGGGGCATTGGCCACTGCAATGGTTTGTGGACAGCCGCCAAGGAGCTCGATGCTACCTCCACTGAATGAGTACCAGGGGATGCAGGGAGGAGGAAGAAGTGAGGGCAGCAGGTGCTGGAGATTCGCTCTCTGCTTCTCCTCTCCCCGGGCAGTCGCCCATCCAGGAGTCACTGATCGAGTTCACCGACAGCAGCATGAGCAAGATGGCAGTCGAGGCCTTCCAAGGTACGCAGGGGGCTCTGCCTGTCCTTGCATGGTCCAGCCCAGCCTGCACTAGCTATTGGGGGCACCTCAAGCCACCCCAAGATGAGGTGGCAAGATGCGGGCCCCACCTAGGTGTCCTGGGCTGCTCTCCCCCAGGAACACAGAAGGAACCCAGCAGGGGCCGTTTGGTCCCATCCTTGGTCTCCTGGAACCGCCAGTGCTGAGACATCCTTGGCCAATGTGCCCAGGCAGGGGCAGCCTTTCAGGGCAATACATGCCTCTGGGACACCCTCCAGCCTCAGCTTTGGTGCTGAGACACCAGCTGGACGCTCTGTGATCTCAGAGCCACCCCCTTAGTGGGGATCTGCCTGCCGTACCCAGGCTTTGTGGGTTTACTCACCTGTGTCCTGCCCAGCACAAGTCCCTGCCCCTCCAGGACCCTTACCCAGGGCCACTGGGCCTCCTGGTGCCCCGTGCTCAGGAGAAGGCATTGGGACCCAGGCCTGGTGGTGTCAGGGTCTGGCAGTGAGTGAGTCAAAAAGCCTGGGGGAGCAGGACCAAGGAGGATCCTGCAGCTGGGAGCTAGGGGGAATCTGCCAGGGGGGACAATCAGAGCCAGGGAGGAAGGAGGGCTGGCAGCGCCGGGCTCCACGGGGCCCTTGCCCGCTGTGTAGGGCTGTCATGAGCACACCAGAATTTCCCCATTTGGGGACACGGCAACTCTGCCATGTGGCACAAGCCTGAAGGGCCTACAGGGACCCCGTGGTCACCAAGACCATGGGACCAGCTCTGCAGCGAGCCAGCAGAAGGGTGCAGAGCCCTGACGCCATGGCCGGTTTGTCCTTCTGCAGCCGTGATGAAGTTCATGGGTGACCACTCTCTCAAGGGACAGACGGAGCTGGACATTGTCTGTGCCATCTTGAAGGTGAGCAACCAGGCCCTGCCCTGAGCAGAGCCCTGTGGGTGCTGAGTGCCAGGGGACCAGGCTTTGCTCCCTGGGAGCCCCGGGGTGCTGGAGGGATGTTGCCAAGGGCAGAGCGAAACCATGTGGCCTTTGAGCAGTCCTAGGACCTGGCTGCCCCCCTCCAATGTGCTCCTGGGGTCAGGGGAGGAAGCTGGGGGTGCAGGGGAGCCCCTCGCCACCAGCATGATGCCAGAAACCTGTGCCTTTCCCCCATAGATGTGTGGTGACCACGAGGCGCTGAGGGATGAAGTCTACTGCCAGGTCATCCGCCAGGTCACCGGCAACACCAGCTCCAAGACGTGAGTGCATGGGTCCCCCTGCTCCCCCCACTCACTGGGCAGCTTGTCCATGCTTCCTGCCAGCGGCCAGGACTTCGTGTCCTCCATACTTCCCACCCCAGCTCCGGGGGCCCCGAATGGGGCAGCCCAGGCCAGGGTGGCAGCAGTGAGGTCTTCCCTCCTGTGACGTGGAGATCCCTCCATGTCCCAGACCCATTCTCCTCCCCTGCTCTCTTTCCTTCCTCTCTGTCTGTACTCCTCCCTCCTCTTCTCTCTCCTTTCCCCTTCTCTCCCATCAGCTTCTCGTAACCCCGCCATTCTTTCCCTTTCCCTCGCTTGCCCGCCAGCACTGACTGGGGGCAGTGTGGAGGGACTTAATGCCCCAAGCCTGACAGGTCCCGGGGCTCCCTGCCCTGAGCAATCCTCTCCCCAACAGGGACAGCTCGCAGAAGGGCTGGAGGCTGCTCTACATCCTCACTGCCTACTACAAGTGCTCCGAGGTCTTCAGGCCGCATCTGCTGTCCTTCCTGCAGGAGGTCTGCAGCAGCCCTGGTCTGCACTTCCAAGGTACGACACGTAGCCCCACCTGGGGGCTTCCCCAGGCCGTGGGCCCAGCTCAAGGCCAGTACTAGAGGGACTGGCCTGCTGGATTGCACACTAGCTGGGACATGGGAGACAAGGGGTCAGTTCTTGGCTCTGCCACAGATTCCCTAGGTGGCCCTGGGCAAGTTACTTGATCTGCCCTGTCAATCCAATGGGACAGCACCAAAGCAACAGCTATGGGGATGCATCCACTGAAGAGTGAGAAGGGGTGAGACACCACAGTGATGGGCTCCACGCGGTCACCTAGCCAGTGCAGGCAGGGAGGGATCGATGAGCACCAGGCAGGGCTGTCGTCTCCATTAGGCAAGGGCCTGGAGAGGCAAGGGACTTGCCTGAGGGGAGGCAGGCAGCCATGGGCACAGCCAGGAACGGAGCCCAGAGCTGCCTTGACAGGTTAGAGGTCTGCTCCCAGCTCCCCTCGCTTTGGATTCATGCCGCCTTGCTTGCCTGCCAAAGTGCAAGCAGACAGAGCAGGCCTGGGGCTGGGCCTGGCTGCGGGGGCTTTGCTTTTTGCTCTGGGTCTCGGCAGAGTGGAGCTGTGCGGGGAAGGAGCCCGCACAAGGCCTCCCCATTCAGGAGGAGGTCGGGGGCGGCTGCCCACATCGGCCCCACCCTGCAGAAACACGAAGGAGCCCATCTGTCAGGCAGTTATGAGACAGCCCCTGATTGCCTCTTGCCAGTAGTTATCTGCTCATTAAAAGCTCTAGATTTCAAGCTGCTTAAGTGGTTCTCAGGGAGGAGGCGGCTGGTGATGATGGATTGCCCCGGCCTGGAGCCCAGCCAGGGACTCCCAGCCTGGCGCTCAGCCTGACCTCCTGCTGGACCACAGGTGCTGGACACGGCAGTGCCAGATGCACCAGAGCCACCGCTGATGCCAACGGAGCTGATCTCAGCTGGCCTGCCCCATCCCCTGCTCCAGCGGGTAGCACTGCTGGACCTGCGTTTCTCCCCTGCCTTCTTCCCCAATCTGAGCCTGGCTTTCACAGTGAGCCGCTCCTCCGTCGTGAGCGAGAGCCGTGCTCTGGACACCCTGCCTCCCAGGGGTGATGGAGAGCTGGGCCCTGCCTGCCTTGCACCTGTCTCTGCCCTGACCCCCGCCCGTGTCCGTGTCTCTCAGGGATCGCCAAGGCTTGTGAGCAGAACCTCAAGAAGACCTTCCAGTGCGGCGGCCGGACCAGGTTTCCCAGCAGCATGGAGCTCAAAGCCATGGTGGTGAGTGCCCGAGACCAGGCCTGGCCTGTGGAGAGCGCCATGGGGGGGGCCACACTGCAGCACACCCAGCTCAGCACAGCACGGGCACTGCCTCTGCCCGCAGCCCCTCCAGCACACCCGGTACAGCCCAGGCTCCTGCCTCTCTCGTCATGGTCCCTGCGGCTCTGTGCCGAGCGGGCAGCACGCAGCAGTCGAGGTCCCTCTCCAGAAGCTGGGGGCAGCGAGCTTTGCTCTTGTCCTGCAGGTTTTTTGCTGCAGGGGGGTAGATTTCAAGCCCTTTCCTGACTGCCTGTCTCCAGGGTGGAGGCACGAGGGGCTGGCCTCCCCAGGGCACTGGGCCCCATGGTGGCAGTGGGAGCTGGGGGCACTGAGCACTTCTGCCCACCTGGACCTGCCAGAGGGTTTCCAGGCTCTGAAGCCTTCATGCTCCTCCTCCGCAGGCCGGAAGGAGTGCGAAACGACAGCTGTTCCTCCTGCCTGGCGGCATCGAGAAGCACCTGAAGATCAAAACCTGTTCGGTAGGTCAGGGAAGGTGGGCAGGGAATCCAAGCCCTGCACCCCTTTCCTCCCCAGGCCTGGTTTGGGGGGGGTGGGAAGTTTCCCATGCACGAGTGTGCTCAGGGAAGGGTCTCCCAGTGACCACTCTGAGCCACCCCCGAAAGCACCCAGGTGCCCCCAACCACCCACTGCCTGGGGAGGTGGGGAGAAGGGATTTGCCTCCAGGAAGCATCTTCCCCCTTTGACTCGGCAGCACACGTGCAGCGGTGGTGAATTGAGGGGGTGGGTCTGGGTTGGGCACACTGGGGCTGTTGGGCACATCCGGAGCTGGGGTCCAAACTTCCAGGGCTGGAGCCAGTGCTCCAGGCTTTGGGCCAGCAGGCAGGAGCAGCTCCTCTCCCAGCGAGTCCGCGCTCAGGGTTTACACCGTTTGCCAGAGACCAGTGCCTCTGGGAGCCAGCGTGTGTGGATGTGCCGATCTGGAGCCCCACAAAGTGCGCTGGAGGCTCCCATGGTTCTGCTGCACTTGGTGTCTGGTGCTGGAGAGGGGCAAGTCTCCTGGGGCCTCCAGACCTGGCCCCCCGTGAAGATGCTTGGAGAGGCACCCGCATTTCAGGACACTTCCTTGTGCCAGCTGAGTCCCCCAGTGGGGCTGGGCAGTCCCTCCACGTGAGCTCCAGGGACCAGGGTGCTTGCAGACGCAGGGACAGGCTCAGGAGCAGGGCAGACCCCCGGGCAGGGGCATCACCCTGGGAGCTCCCTGCAGTGGGGTGGCACAGCCCAGTGCCAGGAGCACCTTCCCAGCAGCACAGTTCCCCTCTCCAGGTTGCACTGGATGCGGTCGAGGAGCTGTGTGATGAGATGGGGCTGCACCGGCCTGAGGCTTTTGATGAGTACATCATCTTCGTGGTCTCCAGCAGGGGTGAGTCCCACTCCCTGCCTCAGCACGTCCCCCCATCCTGCCTTTCCTCTGCCCCACTGCATCGGCCGTCTGCCGGGTGGATGCTGCCCTGCGTGCAGGAGCCTTCTGGCTGGTATCTCAGCACCTTCCCTAGGGCCAAATTCCCAGGAAATGCCAGGGCCAGAGGTGAAAAGTCTTTGCCCACCCAGCACTTTCTGGGGAGCAGCAGGCCACATTGCCTCTGTCCAGCTCTGCTGGCCCTCATCCTTGTGTCTCTGGGGTGGCCACTCGCGTGACTCCAAGACCAGCACACGTAGGCAGTGGCATCCCCAGCGCAGGGTGCTCTTCTCCCAGGTGCTCCCAAGGTAGCACAAACCAGAGCACCTGAGTGGGAATGACCCCGAGCTGACTGCTGCGCTGTGAATTATGTAGCTTTGTGGCCTTTGAGGCTGGGTAAGCTCTGAATATCTCAGGGGACAGAAATCCACCCCCCCATCAGCATCATAGAGGATTAGACACAAGGGCAGCATCCTGACCCCGACCTGCCCAGCCCTTCTGGCCAGCCCCACATGCCTGACCCCGGCCCATGCTTCTGGCAGGTCAGAACGTGCGCCCCCTGAGCCGCAGGGAGTACATCCTGGACGTGGCCACGGAGATGGAGCGTGTGGACCCCAACTACACCTTCTGGTGCCGCCGCGTCATCTGGATGCAGCCGCTCAAGTTTGACAACGAGCTGTACATCACCACGCACTACAACCAGGTAAGGGCTCCGGGCTGGGGGCGAGGGGAACTCGCCACCCTCCCCCTCGTCCTCCCGGGCCCAGGGGTGGCCAGGGGTCTGTCGTGCATGGCAGCAGCTCTGTGCCTGCAAGGGAGCTGGGAGAGGTGTTCATGCCAGCCTGCTGCTGGGCTTTGAGTGCCTCCCTCAAGCTAAGGAGGGTCCAGTCACGTCACTTGTAGATGGGAGACGTCCAGGGAGGTGTGGGGAGCTAGTGGTGGTGACTGAGTTGGGGAATGCCCTTTCCTCCGAGGTGCCGGTCTCCTGCCCCGCATTGCCAGAGTAAACTCTCGGGGCTCTTGGAGACCCACAGCACCTCTCGGTCAGAGCAGGCCTGGGCCCCCGGCTGCCCTTGCGGCGTGTGAATGATTGGCCTGATGTTCCTGCAGAAGAATTGGGTTACAAGAACATGAAGATGGTGGTCAAGCCAAACCCCCTCCCTATGTGCAGCCCCCTTTGTCCAGCACAGCACCCACCCCCTCGTGCTCTCTCTCCCCCTCAGGTCCTCCCTGACTACCTCAAGGGGCTCTTCAATGTGTTTCCTCCCGTGAAGCCCAGTGACCAGCAGCTCCAGCAGATCGCCAAGCTGGCAGCCCTGCAGCACCGGGCCAAGGACAGCCTGTATCTGCCCACCGTGTAGGTGCTGGGGCAGGGGCTGGGCTTGGGTGCTCTCCTGGGCGTTATGAACAGCATCTGGCGGGGAGCGCAGTGTAGTGGTGAGAGCAGAGGACCCTGGAGGCCTGGGCATCCCTGCAGACTCCATGACTAGTTGCTCATGGAGCTGTGGGGGAGCCACTTACCTTCTCCTTGTCCAGATGCCCTTACAGTCCTCACTGCCTCCTCCCAGGGGTTACTGCGCTTGGTTGTTTGTGGTTGGAGATCCTTTGCCCCGGACAGACAGGCCAACATGGTCCCCAGGGTGACCAGATGGGCCCGCTGGAGGCCATGCTTCAGCCACTAGCCCTAACTTTGGTCCTGTCCACCCCGCAAGCCTCTCCTTTGGACCGCACAGTGCTCTTTGCCCAGCTGGCTGGGGGCCGTGGGTGAGAGCCTGGGTCTGGTCTCACTTGGGCCAGTAGCCAGCCAGCGTGCAGCAAGGACATGGGGTGAAACACTCAAGTGGCAAGAGTCCTCCAGTGCCTGCCCACAGTTCCCATGTATGCCCACCACAGACAACATCGCCCCCAGGTCCCTGGAGAGTCACAGGCAGAGGGAACCACGGGACATGCTCCCCACTGGCCCAGCACCCCCAGTGGGGCATGCAGCACCCAGGAGGGCTCATTGCCATAGGGGAGCCAGGCATGCCCAGTCTGGGCTACCCCAGGTGTTTGGACCCCTTCCCAGAGCCCTCACCGCAACATTGACCTGCCCCCGCGCCGAGCAAGCACCTAGCAGTCGGGGTGGGCCCTGGGCTCAGATCAGAGCCTATGCTCATGTCCCCATTGATACTTGGAGTAGATACAACCCTGGGGTGCAGGTCTCTGCCTGGCCCTGGCTGGTGGTGACCCCCTCTCCTGTGCTCCCCCCGCAGCCGGGAGGCACAGGACTACATCCCGCCGCAGTTCTGCCGCATGCAGCACATCCAGTCCTGGTTCAACATGGTGATGCAGCACATGCAGCAGGTCCAGGCTCTCAGCGCCCACCAGGCGAGAGCCCAGTTCCTAGGTAAGATGTCTCCCACCATGGACACAAGGGTCGGCCCCTAGTGACCCACAGTGGGCACAAGCGCCCATCAGCCCCCTCCAGGAGTGCTCCTGAGTACTCACTTGCTGCCGTGGGAAACCTGCCCTCTCACAACTCTCTGTCAGTGGAGAGTGTTGCTTCCCCCGCTGGTCTAGGCCAGCCTGCAAAGGGGCCCTTGGTTGGGGTGGGATGGCATGGGCTGCACTGATACTGGGACCAGCCATGGTGGGACAGGACGGTTCCCCTCCAGGACCTCCTCAGCCCCAGCCCCCACCACCAGGATCAGGCTCCCCGGCCTCTCTGCTGACAGTGTCCCCTCCGCAGGGCTCGTGAGCGCCTTCCCCATGTTCGGCTCATCCTTCTTCTACATTCAAAGCTGCAGCAACACCACCATCGCCTCACCCTGCATCCTGGCCGTCAACCAGAACGGCCTCAACTTCCTCAACAAGGAGACCCACGTAGGTGTGGGCCGGTGGGCCCGGTCCCAATCATGCCTGCTTGCTTTGGAGGCAGGCGGAGCTGAGCTCTGGGTAGCACCATCTCAGAGCTGCCCACGAGCAGCAGAGGGTCCAGGGGAGCTTGCAGCACCCTGGCATACCCAAGCTGCCCCCACAAACACTGCTCTGTCCCTGGGGCTCTTGTGATGACCACACCTGATGCCTGCTGCCAGACCTGGCATGTCAGGCAGGGGTGGGAGCACCTCAGCCAGGCATCACTCCCTGACCCAGTGGCACCATCCCTTGGAGAACGGGGCCCATGGCAGCCCGTGCAGGTTTGGAGGAAGGCTGTGTGCTATAGCACCCTGGGGCTTAAGGCAGCCCAGTGGGTCCAGTTTGGGCAAGTCCATCTTGAGTAATTAGGGGGCTGAGGGAGCCTGCATCCTTCACTCACTAAGTCACCCCCCAGCCACTCTCACTGGCCCACGTCCCTCACAATATGCCAGAGACCCTCATGTCACGCATAGGGACCTCCTGTCTTGGAGGAACCAGCAGCTACGAATTCCTAAGGTGACCGAGGGCAGGGAGCTGGCTCCCGCTGTCTCTCTGTCGTGGGGCTGCAGCTCCATTCTGGGCTTGCACAGCTCCTGGCACAGCGGTGCCCGGGCATTCCTCAGCTTAACAGCACCTAGTACTCCTAGCGTGGAGGAATCTGGTTAGGGAGCACTGAGGACGGTCCCCTAGTGCTGCAGGTCTAAGGGCACTCCTCCCCTGCAGGAGCTGATGGTGATGTTCTCGCTGAAGGAGGTCCAGTCTGCAAGGACGCAGCAGCCCTCAGCCGGCTCCAGCTACCCCTACGTGGAGCTCACGCTGGGAGACGTGATGTCACAGAGTGTCACGCAGCTGCAGCTTGACCAGGTACGAAGGCCGGCGGCTCTGGAGACCATGGAAAACCACCCACTCATCTTCCCCCTGGGGCCCTGTGGCCTGTCCAGGATTGGAGACGCAAGAGCAGGGTCCAGCTGGGGCGTCGGTGCCCGCAGGGTGGGCAGGCCGCCGGAGAAGGCTGCTATGTTGGTGGCTCCTCTGCCTCGCGCTTCTGTGGCTCTCAGTCCCGATCCTAGGGCAGGGCTGCCCAGCAGCCCCCTGCTGTGACTGCAGCCTACCGCGGTGGGTTGGGGAGCGCCCATCCCCGCCGGGACGAGATGCAGGAAGAAGGCGCCTGGGCTCACCTGCCTCCTTGGGATGCCCCATGTGATGCTCCAGGGATGCAGCCCCTTTAATTCTCTCCTTCTTGCTTCTCTTCTCTCTGTCTCCTTCTGGCTTTCCTCCTTGTGGCTCCTCCGCCCGGCTCTCTCGAGCGTAACCTTCCCACGGTAGGTAGCTGCTCCTTGCTCTTCTATCTGAGGAGGCCACGCGCTCGAACCACCACGGGTCCTCGCCCCCTGTTCTGGGTCAGGAGTGGGTGGCTGGGGCTTGTTTCTCCATAGTGGTCTCAAGAGCGTGTGGACAGGCCCCTCGTGCCTGCTGCTTGGGGCTTGGGAGCTCAGCCCCAGCTGGGATGCAGTGTAGGCAGAGGATGGCCCCGGATGGCTCCCGTGCTGCCTCACGTGATGGGCATCAGGGAGAGACCCCCTCCCTCCCCTTACCAATTCCAGAGGGGGCCGGTAGAGACCTCCCCAGCACTGCAGCTGGCCCAGCAGGGAGGAGAAGAGCAGGTCGTCTGAGGAGCCGGGCCTTGCCGTGGTCACCATTAAGGGCTCCGTCCACGGACGGCAGGGGTCAGGGGCTTCTGTGCTCTCAGGCTCCCAAAGCCTAACCATAACCACAGTCCTCTGCACACCGCTTGCAGCCGCCCATGGCAGCTCCCCCAGCACAGCCGAAGTCAGGCTGCAGGAGTGTGGGACTGCCCTGAGCAGGGCAGGGGGGTTGCTTCTGGCCGTGCCAAGCCCCAGCTGCAGGTCATTACCTGGGGAGGAGCTAATGGGGTTTTGGGGGTCAGCCGAGTTAAGCTGTGCTTCCTCCCTCCGCAGGGCCTGGAGCTGTGCCGCGTGATCGCCACGCACATGGAAAGCTTGCTGTTCGCTCGTGAGAAAAGGCTCACCCTGCCACCTAGCGAGATCACGCTGCTCTGAACACGCGTGGCCTGCCCCATCCCAGCCGCACCAGCCAAAGCCGCCGTGGGGCTACGGAGATGTGTCTGCCTCCTGGCAGGGGCACAGCACGGACCTGGCGATACCAGTTCTTGGCTGGTTCCAGTCAGCAGACGCAGCTGGTTCCAGTGAGGCTGGGCTGGTCCGTTCCCCGTGAGGACACAGCCTGGTGCCGTTGGGTCAGAGAGGGTGGGAAAGCAAAACAGACAGGAGGAGTTAAGGAGGTGGAGGAGGAAGCAGAGGAACACCAATGCCTTAATTAGGATAAGGATGCCCTCACAGGCCTCCCTTGCAGTGGGGTCCTAGGACCAGGAGCAGAGACTGTTTATTAGTGACTTAACCAGGGATCATCCAGGAGCAGGCTGTGCCCGCCGGGATGGCCACTACCCAGTTTCTACGGACCGTAGGCCTCCCACCTTTCGTACTCGTACCCACCTCTGCTACCGTGCCTGTCCTGTCCCTGAATCATTATTTTTGTAACTGGACTTGGCACTGGGGCAGCTCTCGCCTGCTCAGCCCCACTCCTGGTTTTGTAATGTTTTGCACTTGAGGTCACGCTGAGATTTTTTGTTTTTAATTGATGCAAAATTAAACCTCCCTCGGAAGCCCAAAGCCGCCTCTGCCCGGATCTGCTGAGCAGCATCAGGCCCTGCAGAGCTGTAGCCTGTTCCTCCACCCTGAGGGTGCCTGGGTTTTGAGTCTGGTTTCGTTTTACCGTGACCCTGCAGCTGCCGGAGACGTGTTCTCCATAATGCCCTGAGCTCCCTGCAGTGCTCCTGTTCTGGCTTGCGCCCTCCCCATTTGGGGGTTGTCTGCCTGTTCCTCAGAGAAACAGGATGGGCAAGCAGGAGGGCATCAGACTATGAAAAGAGATGAGCTCCAAACCATGCTCAGATGCCTAGAAAATAGGCCAGATGCTCCCTAATAAAAGAACCACATTTGGGCCAAGGTAAAGTGACCATGGCTGGAGGCACACTTGCCTTCACCCTCTCTCCTGCAGGGTCAAGCTCAGCTGTGCCCCCGACACCAGCGCTGAGCTTGACCCTGCCCTTGCAAAGCACTGTGATGTCCACACTAAAGCCAGAGGCTTTCTACCCGAGGATGCTTGGCCGCGTGGCACCGTGAGGCCCACGACGCAGCAGGGACATCTAGGATGACACGTTGATGGCGGGGGAGACAGCTAACCTCTGAGCCACCCCAAGTGCTGCGCAAGACTCAGCCTAGCCAAGGCAAGAGGCTGGGCCCTTTGCAGGCAGGACGCCCCCGTGCAGCAGTGCGGTGTCCTGCCAGCGCCGGGGGGTGGGGGAGAAACCCAGACGGTCGATGCTGCGCTGCCCCTGGGGGAGCACCTCCCCGTGACAGCAGCTGCCGGAGCACATGACGGCCTGATGATGCCGTGCTAATTGGATTGGCAGGCGGGCAGGAGAGATGATTTCTAAGGGGCACGGCGTGACCTGCGGGGAGGGCTTATCCGGTCACTTATTTCTGGTGCTCGGAGCCGAGGACGGTCCCCGGAGGCCGTCGCCGGACTAGGGCAGGGCTAAACGAAGGGCCGAGCGCTGCTCCTGCCTATCCGCGTTCCCAGTCTCGCCGCAGCCCAGGACAGCGGTTCTCAGCCGGGGCCTCGAGGTCCCGGCGAGGACACCGCACGGCTCGAGCCTGTCTGGTCTGAAGCGGGCGGAGATTTCAAACAGAAGCCCTTGGTTTTGTGCCGTCGGGCGCTTTGAAACGGAGACACGTGGCGGCCAACCCCCGGGGGCACTCGGGCCTGGAAGGGGGAGCACGGCTGGCCTGGGGGCAAGGGCTCCCCCGGGGCAGCGTGTGCTCCTGAACCCCTGGGCTGCGCCCTGTCCTGCTGGACACCCGTGGGGGTGCAGCAGTGGGGCACCGGCCTCCCAAGGCACTTTCTGCAGCACCCCCAGGGCGGGCAGGGCAGGCACTGCCATCCAGTCGTTGCATGGGAGGCTGCAGCAAACCTCGGCCCGGAGGCAACT